CTTCTCTCAATAGAAAGGAAGGTCTTACCATACATCCTACTTGGACCATCTATCCTAACCATTTAGTCTGATCGTATTTACAATTCCACACTATCATATTACAAATTTAAACTCTATCCTTTCTTACCATAAAGGTCACACAAGTTTTCATTCTTAAACAATGCACACATACATACACACACAAATTTACATACATATCACTTATGAATCACCTTGACAGAAATGACATGACATCAACTTGTTCAGACCTGTTTTTTGATTGATCAAATATTATTCTTGCATTGTTCCGTTGTACTATTTAAACTTGGATTAATTTTAATTTGGTTATTTATTCTCTGAAGAAGTGACTTACACTAAGCCACGAAACGTCAGAAAATCCAATTTTCTACTCATTGCGATATTACAAATATATTATTTTTTATTTATAACAATCAACCCAATGCTCAATTTATTCGAAATTATCAAATCAAACCTTGGTAATGACACCTATATCACAACTCATTGTCCTTTATTACTTTATTCTTGAATATGGAGCCTCTAACTTCATTTCACTCTAACAAGAGATAATATGAATTTGTTCTAATTTATTATACCTCTGTCTGTTCTACTACACAATGTTAAGCAAAGTTTGGCGTTCATATCCCAGTGCCTTGCTGCTCTTCTGTTTCTCTTTTTTCTCCTTCAGAATCTTGCTCTGAGGGCACAGCTATGAAACTTCTGACGTATGGAACAAACTAGACGTACGCGTCTCCTCATAGCCATTGATTACAGCAAGCGCTCTACGAGTCTAATTTATAACAACTATAAACTTGATAAGTTGGGAAGCATGTCTTGCATCAACAAATGTGGTAATTTATAGTTCATACCTGTAAAAATGGCGTGTACCTGCACATGCATAAATATATTATTAATGTTAATTAATATTAACATCTAAAAACTCGATATTTTAAGATTAGGGTAAACTTAACTTATCTCAGGCTATGGAATATCCTAATGGGGCCACCAATGTTCAGCACTAGAACGGCTTTTTTTCTTGAGTTATATTAACGATTTTTCACAACAGGTATCATCTGACTTATTATTCTTCGTTGATGAGGGAATCGTTCAGCCATGAGGGTGGACTTGCACTTCAGGAAGATCGGACTACACTTCAAGGGCGAGCAGACGACAACAGACTTAACTTTAACACTTAATAGCGTAAAGTAGTCCGTCTGAGGCATGTTGCAAACTACAACTACAACTGAGGCAACTCCCCTCTAGTGGTATCTCAAGTTTAAAAAGATATAGGTGTGCTCATACCCTTCTTTCTGAAGTGTTACGCTAACTGGTTCAAATATACTTTGTATCAAACCTTTCACTAGTAGCATTGGATCGCATTTTCATCCAGTTTGGAGGAAAGATTTTCCACCTAATCTTTAATAGTTTTATTCGTCTCGATTTAGAGCACGGAAATATTGTATTTCCTCCCTGACCCCCAAAGGATTAGGACACTATTGTACGTGTCACGGAATCAGTTCGATGATTCAAATTCAAACCTTATGAAGAGCACCCTTAATCACCAAACCCTTACCCATAAGAGTACAGGCGTCTTAGAGGTGACCTTCTAATGGCGTACATCATCTTTAACACTTCTGGACATTCCCTTAAACATCTACATAAGTTTAGCTCTAACACAAACGTAAAGGGTAACACCCAGGAACTGGAGACATGACTCAGCAGGACGGATTGTAGACACAAAGTCTACTCCTTAAGAGTTGTCAAATGCTGGAATTCACTGCCGGCCGAGCTAGTCCAAACGACTTCATATGAGTCGTTTAAGAGAAATCTTGACATATTCTTAATAATTAAGGCTTTTACCTTACAACGAATTACTAATTTCTTTATCGTTAATATACCTAAGTGATTCATTGCTACTAGGCTCGGAAGCCCGTTAAGCGAAAGCTTCTTATATTCCGTCCACAACCAATTGAACCATTTGAAGAGTAAACGTTATATTTTTAAGGATTCAGGGCAGGATTTTGTAGTGGCATTGGACAATAGCCACACAATCCACAAAGCTGTGAACACGAGACTACTCAGAAAATAGATATTCAATATTTAACGCGGAGAAATACCGAACAATGGAGAAGGCGCGAACAATGAATTGAATGGACTGGAGTTGATTGAGTGGCATGGCTCGGCCATGCAGGCGTGGTCCCTGCTGGATATTATCCTATATCTCATTCATATTAAATATATTGTTCTTTCTCTATCCTAACCTTGTTCCTCATCAGGTATTGGTAATTGATACGATACAGTGAGTTGGTGTAGTCAATGGTGTGACTTCCACGTAAGATCCTTAATCAACACTATAACTAGTTAAATTTGATAGTTTCAGGATATCGTCATAAAGCATTGTCATAACTTGACAATCACGTAATATGACTGATAAAGTTAATGAAACTAGTAACGAAATCGGTCAGCAAATTGACTTATAATTACCATTAAATGGTGTTGTTTTCTTGGTATCTTCATCCATCACAGATGATTACAGTATGTTTCTCTATCAGTTGCTCATTCAGTAAATATCTCAAAACCTTGTCAGTCTAATTGATGGTTTAGCGACACAATCATACATGCAAATAATCAGAATAAGCAGTCGAGCAAATCTCCTGCAAACTGAAAACATCAATGTCGAATTTACCCCAACACTGACTAAGGTTCAAGCCATTATCATAGAAATGAGTTGGGAGTGTACTCCCCCTGGTTACAACTCATGTTCTCCCTGATAATCACATGAGCATCACTCACTATTAATCATCCTGTAAAAACTTATTTAGCTAAATACATTTTGCAGCACCACATCACTTCGTAATATGACCCATAGGCTTAACTGATTTTAATAACTTGTAACCACTATATCTCAATTAAATCGTATTCCGCCTTATGATAAACTGCATACTTGCAACTATCTTGTATGCCCAATCAGCCGGCAAGTATAAATATAAATAAATAGTCTATCGCAGATCAGAACATTGAGTCTAGAGCATGTCTCTTACGAACACACTCATGTTTAACGATTTTTCCTAGCTATCTGTCCAAAATCCATATAATTATCACTCATGTATTTAAATTTTGTTCTGATAACCGTTCATGTGTATTAGTAGTATTACTAAATTCTATCACGGTCAAGTAAAAATGAGGTTGAGAAAATCTCCCCGTAACTAAATAAACCGTATCAAACTAACTGGAACACTAGTTGGAATTCTTCTCCACGGTATACTTTTGTTCCTTCAGTTAGCCTACTAATACAGATGCAATTGGAATTCAACTCATATGGACAACTTACCGGCATAATCGTTATCCGATTTCATAATTTAAACCAAAACTAATACCAATATTAACATTTCTACAATATTCATTATTTTAATATTTCTAAACACAAAATAATTACTGCCTATAAGTTAATTTATTAACACGCATCGTTTTTTTATTATTATTATTATTGTAATCCCATTTTTTATAGTTCAAATAATCTTCAACCAAATTTTCATTTTAAGCGTGTTAATCATGAAAGCAGATATTTTAAGATTATTACATGTATTTTCCGACCAGATACTGCCTTCTTTTTGATTGATCTTTCAGCTTATCAATACCCGGAGGATCTTTATTATCCTTGGTAACCTCCGGCGCGCGACGATCCCATCCAATTTGGTATCGAACCAACATCACGTTGATTCTGGTGGGAGAGTAGTGTAGTGGCATTGGACAATAGCCACACAATCCACAAAGCTGTGAACACGAGACTACTCAGAAAATAGATATTCAATATTTAACGCGGAGAAATACCGAACAATGGAGAAGGCGCGAACAATGAATTGAATGGACTGGAGTTGATCGAGTGGCATGGCTCGGCCATGCAGGCGTGGTCCCTGCTGGATATTATCCTATATCTCATTCATATTAAATATATTGTTCTTTCTCTATCCTAACCTTGTTCCTCATCAGGTATTGGTAATTGATACGATACAGTGAGTTGGTGTAGTCAATGGTGTGACTTCCACGTAAGATCTTATAGATTAGGCAGTTATATCATGACGAATCTACAATTTTGGGATTAGGTCTATTATTAGAGCAGTACTAAAATCATAGTAGATCATGATCCTACAATTTCATCATCTTTTACTAACACTTTTAAAATGCCACAGGTATTCGGAGTCAAACAACACTCTTAGAAGTAAAACCTTCACAATTTGAGTATGCCATCTAAGTCAAACTAAAAGTCAGAAATGAAAGGTTTCGAAGATATAGTTGAAAGGCTATTGATTTATCGGAAAGCGTTAAATCTAAGCTGACTACCGGCCGTAGGAGATGCGTAGCACGATGTACCCACTCGCTATCTGGTGCAGATGCACTACCGAGCACCGTCAGCTAGAAGGGTTTGCTAAAACTAGTGTGGTCATCATCAAATGTCGAAGACAAACAAGACTATTTATTTTTGGGATTTATTTACTTTTACAACTTCTCTTTAGCCTGTTAAACATAACTAGGTCCGCACCTGACCCCATCAACGATCTACTGCTGCTATGTACGGAAGCCTCTTTAGCGAAGGCGTCTTCTCTTTCGTCTGCAACCATTTGAACCATTTTTCGAACACTCACATTGGTAATGCAACTCAAAGTAACGAAATGCGACGAAGTCTTAATAACTTCCGCAGAATGAAACAATTGTGGCATACCCAAAATTTTGCTTGGTGATGATGACTGTCTGAGAAGTAGTTTGAATTTGTACTGAGCATTACGATTATAGGCCTCGGAATTTTATCTGCTACACTGTACTTGTAGCATTAGTAGTGTCCGAAAAAGATTGTAACCAAAACTTTTGTACCCTTTTGTTAACTTTGTACCACGGCAAGTTTTATTTAACAAGGACATTAGAGGTTTCTCAGAGAATTAAATTTCGAGGAACTACTTATCTGTGTAACTCAAAATTAGAGTTTGAACTGTGAGTCTCGTACGTTCAGACAACCTTGACAAGGAAAAGCGCTTCTTATGGTTAGGTTTCTTGTCAATGTCGAGGCGTGATGTCGCTCCTGGTGCGAATGCTCAAGAAATGAGTTATGTGAACCAAAATTTGTCCTACAGTTTTCGGTTGGGCATTTCTAGCGACGTGGAGGTATTATATATGACCTAGAATAACGAAGGAAGTATTTTCGGCTCTAGGATACGCAAGCCTTTCGTCGAAACCAGACATCACGATGCAGCTCTACAGGTGTGCTGTCTTTCACTAATGACGACTTACATCCTGATATCTTACTGGACCAAGGCATCGAAGTAGGTTTAACTCTACGAAACATTTGGCTCAGGGTTTTGACTATGATCCTGTTCAGAATAAAATATTCACTGACGAAGGAGTACGAAGGGCGTCTTATGTAACATATAATACAGTTAATTACACTTCACAGGGAAGCATCTTTAGAGGAGCCTCGCTAAGGCATTTAGTACTATTCTTCATTGGCGTGTTTACTGGACTTTCTGCCTGCGTAATTGATTACGCTATTGAAAACATCTCGAAGTATAAGTATAGATCAGTTTCATGGCGTATCCTTTTAATAAACAACATAGAGGCTCAGGTTACACTTCAACAAACTGTCTTCTTTCCTTAACCAGCGTAGTTATCAGTCGTTACCCACATTCTTTGTGGATTTCTGTTCCAGGATTTTTGTGGTGTGCAATCAATTCTTTCCTCACAGGTATAGCAGCTACACTAGTCGTCTTTTTAGCTGTATGTCAAGTTTCTGACCAAATATTTTTGTAGCCAGTTGCTTCTGGAAGCGGAATCCCGCAAATTAAATGTTATCTTAATGGTCTTAATGTTCCTCGTGTAATGCGATGCCTGACTATGATCGTAAAGGGTGTTGGTGTTATTTTGGCGGTGTCTGGAGGTTTGGCTGTTGGAAAAGAGGGACCTATGATACATATTGGCTCGGTGATTGCTGCAGGATTATCACAAGGGCGATTGCGGTTTTTAAAATATTCCTTGGGTTGCTTGAAGATTTTTAGAAATGACCAAGAAAAACGTGATTTTGTCAGTGCTGGTGCGGCTGCTGGGGTTGCAGCTGCTTTTGGAGCACCTGTAGGTGGTCTGTTATTTGCCCTTGAAGAAGGCGCTAGTTTCGTTTATCAAAGATTAACATGGACCATAGTAAGTTATTGTTCGTTTTTGTCATGTTTTTCTACCCTCAAGTTTTGCTTGTGTCAAACTGTCTGTTCGTCATTTGGTTTTCCACTAGATATTGTAGGTGGACATTAAACCTAAAGTCATGTTTGTAATAATCTCAGCGGTTATGCTCTGAATTGTCTCAACGTTTTATGTGACACGGCTATTCTTCAGAGAAGTAGTAAAGTTCATTATTTTAGGTAGATAGATTCGAAAATGGTCCTGTATTTAACATGTCCTGTCACGTCTATGTGTTGGTTTTGTATGTATCTAAAGTGTGATTCATTCGATGCAAGTATGTTCAAAATTTGCTACATGTTGGCCCATATTAATGTACTTCGTTATTAAAACCCAATGAACAAAAAAACCTTTGTTCACGGCTGTAGTCATATCAATGTTCTGTTCATCTCAAAACTCAAAGGACATTTAGGAAAAATAGCTTGTCAGTGTTGGTTCAAAAGTAGTCGGATTTTGTGTTGTCAAGTTAATGTCAAATAACTGGACACAAATTCAAATAAAACAAGCATTTAAACAATCGAGGTTGCTCTCTCAATTCCCGTGTTACTAGAGGTTAAATCAAATCAGGTGTCGAAAACATTTTCACTTATTGATTAACTGTTACCGTCATGAAGCTAACCTCAATCCACACTATTCAACCTAGGGTCCGCCCATATGTGTAGGGCTTCATGTATTAATATTTCTTTCTCAACAAACCCTACCAAATAATTTTGGTTGGATCGAAGTCTACTTGACGCCATTTTACTATTGAATATACTGTTATCGTTGATTTGTTCCCAAGCTTTCTGTAGTCTTCTAAGAATTTAGAAGTATTTCCTAAACATTTTCTATGTCCACTTTGTTGTTTAACTAGCTGCCCGGACGTTTTGTTCAATGTGCAGCACGACACTCATAACATTTAAATTCGTACACACGTTCTGTGTTCACCATTTGGAACCACATTCTTGACTCACGAAAACAGGTCTGATTGTATCACTGGCACACAAATAAACCTTTAGATCTTGTTTGACATTCTTATAATTATCTTTGTTCAGTGTTTTTTTTTCAGTGAAGATTGACAATATTCATGTTGTACCGTAATACTGAAAAGTAAACATTTTTTTATACGGTGGCGTGCTGCCTGACTCAGACTACTGTACTTTGATCTCAGACCTGTGAAACAATCAGTCCAATATCATCAGGTTTCTTAGAAGGGATATTCATCACCGGAGTTATATGTCGCCTATAAATCTCTAGCACCCCGTGTTGTGATTTTAAGGCCGGCTAGTTATCACGTGATTTATCCGCCAATTGAAATACGACTTAGTATTGTGTTAAACCAATGACGTTCGACCGGTATAAGCAGCCTAGCATCCTTATTGGTCCTTTGTTCGCCTAACCCATCCACTTGAGTCTAAAACACCAATAACAGCTCACATTATGCGAATCATTTATTTCAAACATACTTGGTTTATATACCAGCCAAACAGACCGCATTACACCATAAAATAGGAAATGACATTTATACAAAATCAAACCCAAAAGTGGCTATGAACGTGGGAGACAGTAGTCAATAAACTGAACATAACTTAAAAACAGTAAATCGTACAATAATAATTTATAGGTCGAAATGAAGCTTATAATAAGAGGAATATAGATATACATAGTCTAGCTACTGAATAGTTAAGGTTAAGATAAAAGAATAATAACTTTTTTCTTTACACTAATTTTAGAGTAATTTCATTGAATCATTTTATAAGAAGTTGTTGCTACCTTGACGTGGTGGTCGGGCTTGCCTATCGTGATGAAGCAACCGAGCTATACTGGCTGGAACAACCGTTCCTCAAGGTCCTACCATGTCAGACAGGTCGGTTGAAGAGCGGTAAGACTAAAAGCAACAAACCCAAGGTCCGAAGGCGAAGTCGTACTGCTGACTGTACAGAGGTGTGACAGCAGTAAGGTGTTTCCTTCAGACAACCAGCATGACAGCGATGCTGCCTTCCCACAAGGAGGGGTGGGGTTAGAAAAGGTCGACCCTAAAAATGTACACCTCACCTTACCTCACGGATTTCCGTCTCCGGCGGTAAGGCCCTTTGAAGAACGGAGCTAACACGTCGAAAACCTCCCACAAAAAGGCCGTGCGCGACCGGCCTCAAGCAGTTGTCCCTTGGGCACTGCGGTCACGCTCTCAGGTCACTGAGACCACCTCTAATCCAATTTCTTTTTCAGGTACCTCCAGAAGAACCCTTCCACGGTGTGGGCAACCGGGAAGTGATAACCGCCCTCATACCTCTAACAGCACCCAAGACCACTGTATTCATAATCAACCTTCCTCTTCAATTCCTATTATTCCTCCTACATCAACTTTCAACCCTAAACTTCCTCCTTCGGCTTCCTCCTCAAGTGTCACCATAGCCAACGATTCTAGTGCTCAAAACTCTGTCCCAGGTCTACTGAAACCTCGCTCCAAACTACACATTGGAGCTTTCAACGTACGCACTCTATGTCGAATCGGTCAGCAGGCTTCCTTGGCTAAAACCCTAGAGTCTCTTTCCATTGATGTATGCTGTGTCTCTGAAACACGCATACAGGATCCCAGTGTGGTCATTCACTTGACCTCACCTCGGCAAAACGGAGAGCCAACGAGATACACCCTCCGTGTATCTGGTGACCCGATGGCCAGTTCTCGTGGACTGGCAGGTGTAGGCATAGCACTAAGCATGAGGGCCGAACAAGCACTGCTAGAGTGGATCCCCGTCAACAGTCGTCTATGTGCTGTTCGGCTGAACGGCTACGTAAGAACTCGGAAGGATAGGGACACACGTCGTTGCCTTTTTGTCGTTTCTGTCTACGCTCCCACTGACTGCAGCTCAGATGAAGTGAAAGGTGAATTTTACAGAAAGCTTTCTGAACTTCTTCAGAAAGCTAAACGCTCAGACATAGTACTCGTAGCAGGTGATTTTAATGCTCAGATAGGTAGCTTAAACCAAACAGAAAGGCATTTAGGTGGATATTTTAGTATTCCGACACAGCGAACAGATAATGGTGATCGTCTGCTGCAACTGTGCTCAGACAATCGTTTTTTTTAGCAAACACAAATTTTAAGCATAAGGAGAGACATCGTCTAACATGGCGACCCCCTACACCAAACCAACGATGGACTCAAATAGACCATATTGCCATCAGTCATCGTTGGAGAGGGTCGGTAGAAGATTGTCGCTCATTCTAGGGTACCTGCTTGGACTCCGACCATGCCCTAATACGAGCACGCATCTGCTTGCGCCTCACTGGACGCAAAAAAGCCACATTAAAAAGACCCGTTAGAACTGAGTTGAGTAACGAGAAAACCAAAAGTAGGTTCCAGGAACAACTGAGGTCACACTTAGGTAATTGTGAAGACGAGGCTGACCCAGATGTTGCTTGGAAGGGCATACAATCAGCTGTGGAAACAGCAGTGACATCTATCAGTGATTTAAACCACAGAGTTGCAAGGAACCAGTGGATTTCTTCAAGGTCTGTCACACTGATGGATTCTCGTAAACTCGTCCCATCAGGTTCTGAACATGATGAAGAGCGAAAACAAATCAGATCTAGGTTAAGAAAAAGTCTAAGGAACGACCGTGAGCAGTGGTGGGTAACGAAAGCAAAAGAGATGGAAAAGGCGGCGACTATAGGGAACACAAGACAGCTTTACAGACTAATAAAAGAAACTGGAATTAATAAGTCAAGTGTAAGTGAGATTATTTCGGAAAAAGATGATACTCTCATCTGCTCCCAGTCCAGACGTTTAGAACGATGGGCGGAACATTTTAGAGAACAGTTCAGCTGGCCTTCAGCTACTCTACAACTACCCTCCATTTCCAGACAATGTGAATGGAACATTGAAGTAGGTCCTCCAACTCTTGCTGAAGTTCAAAAGGCTATAGTTAATCTGAAACGAGGAAGGGCAGCTGGTCCAGATGGATTGGCTCCAGAGGTCTTTAAGGATGGTGGTCCAATTTTAGCGATTAGGTTGACTAATATTTTAGCTAAGATCTGGGAATTAGACTTTATCCCATCTGACTGGTCGCAATCACTTATCGTCCCAATATATAAGAAAGGGTCAAAATCATCCTGTGACAACCACAGAGGGATTAGTTTAACAAACATAGTATCTAAAATACTGGCCTCGATAATTATCAGACGTCTAACTAAGACTCGTGAACTACAAACTCGAGAGAACCAAGCTGGCTTTAGACCTGGTCGTGGCTGCATCGACCACATATTCACCATTCGTCAGGTTCTAGAACACAGGCATACCTATCGGCGTCCGACGATGGTGGTCTTTCTTGACTTAAAAGCAGCGTTTGACTCTGTAGACCTCGAGACTCTGTGGCAGTGTCTGTCATTGAAAGGCGTACCTCAGAAGTACATAAACCTTGTGAAGGCTCTTTACTCGAACACTACTAGTCGAGTCAGAGCTTATGGCGAACTGTCATCTACTTTTGCAACTTCAAGTGGTGTCCGTCGAGGCTGTCCACTTTCTCCATTTTTGTTTAACTTCATCATAGACCTATTGATGGAAATAACACTCTCGTCGACTGAATTCTCGGGTATTGATCTCCTTCCAGGAGGTCCACTTATCGACTTAGAATACACAGATGATATAGTCCTGTTTGGTGAAGACGCTGACAAAATGCAGAGTCTTCTGGTAGCACTAAGCAACAATGCCAGAATGTTTGGGATGCGCTTCTCTCCCTCTAAATGCAAGTTGTTGCTTCAGGACTGGTCTGCGTCAACACCTGAACTAAGGATAGGGAGTGAAGTAGTCGAACGCGTTGACAACTTCACTTATCTTGGAAGTCTGATCAGCCCTAATGGGTTGGTGTCTGACGAAATCTCAGCACGGATTCGAAAAGCTCGTTTGGCTTTTGCCAACTTACGTCACCTTTGGCGGAGGCGAGATATCCGTCTATCAATAAAAGGACGAGTATACTGCGCGGCAGTCCGTTCTGTCTTACTTTACGGTAGCGAAACATGGCCTTTAAGAGTAGAAGACACCCGTAAGCTACAAGTATTTGACCACAGATGCCTTAGAAATATTGCTGGCATCTGCTGGGATCACCGGGTAAGTAATAGTGAGGTTAGACGTAGGGTATTAGGGAATGATGGTAAATCAGTTGATGAGGTTATGAATCTTCATCGACTGAGATGGTTGGGCCACGTGTTACGTATGCCTGAACACCGATTACCACGACGTGCAATGCTAACCGGTGTAGGGGATGGTTGGAAGAAAGTTAGGGGCGGTCAAACCAAAACGTGGCATCAGTGCTTGAAGTCACTAACTTCTAGTCTTAGCCATGTTGGTAGATGCAGACTACTTGGTTGGGGTCCGCGTGACTTTCGTAACCAATGGTTGGAGACTCTTGGTGACATGGCTCAGAATCGATCACAATGGCGTCGGTGTATACACTCTTTGTCTTCCCTTAAACTAAGAGATTAAAATCACTTCATATCTTTCTTTCTACGAACTAATTCTTCCTTCCTATACTATATCCTTATTGCAACCTTTGACCTAACCACTCCTATGAATCCGGTGTTCATCTTGTTGTGCTAATGAGGTATGGCAACCTGGACCGATGCACATATGTGCCTGGTCCTACGTTGTAGCTGACTGACTGACTGAATATTTTATATATATATATATATATATATATATATATATATATATATATATATATATATATATATATGTATATATGTATATATATTATCAGTCCATTAATAGTTCTCGGAAGTTACTCGTAATTTAATCTTCACTAGGATACAATACTCCGATTTAAAAACAGTTGTTTTCCTCGTCGCTTGAATTCGCCTACCTTTCACTTTTAAACATTTCTCTAACTTCATGTCGGCTGATAACACTAAAGATACAAGCTCACTAGATGCTGTCTTATGTCTTATATAACCGTACTGCAAATTGATTGTTCGTGCTCCCATTTATCTCATATCAAATCAGACAACAGATCACTGAGGTTTATTCCAACAAGCTTGAAATATGAGTAGAAATAAGAGTAATCTTACAAAGGTCTACAAAATGAGCGTGAGCGCTAGTGAAAAATAAGCAAAATATATGGTAAATTCACCAATATCATGTTAATTTGTGAATTAAAGTAATAACCAACTTAGCGAGAGTTAGGGCAGAAGGACCTGGCTTTAATTCTGATGTTATTTCAGGCTATTGGTCCTGCATTACCCGTTATGTTATCTACGGGGTACATTTAAAGTTGGGGATACTTCCATCTGATCAGTTTGGGTTGTCGACCATCCCAGTATACAAAAGATACAAACTGAAGTGTTCAAGTCTGATTTTATGGTGTTTATCTGAAATTGTGGACAATCGGGCCATTGTTTATTCTGCAAAGTGAACTTTAAAATGTTAGTAGTTACCAGGTTAAGTTACCACAAACACGTTTCAGGCTGAATTTCCAAATGACAAAAGCTTTCATAAGAGCTCGCATTTACTATCTTACATGTTAATTGGTGATACATTTCATGCGTTACATAAAGCTGAGGATTTAATATTCGAAAAGGTAATAACTTTTTTTGATACTATAAGAATATGTCCAATGGCATTACATAAATATATAGCGTCGCATATAAAAGCACATCTGGCTTTTATCTGTCACTTAGAAAAAAATGAATCATAAAATGGTGTTGAGTATTATGATGTTTTTTGTACACCCTCCTAGTGTTAGGATGTATATTTCGTGCTAGTTTATGTAGGTTGATTAGGAGTTTTATTGCAAGTTCATAATAGCATTGTACCAATAAAAATTTGCTCTTGTAGCTCTTCGCATCAATGGTTTCGATGTTTACTTTGGCTCTGTTCAAATCACTGACTCGTACCCATGTGTTCAAATTTACTCCTGGTGGTCTTGTAAGCTTCGGTACCATAGAAGTAAGTTATATCCCTTGATTTACTTAATAGTCACATTTATTTATGATATATACCGCGTAACAATCATTACTTGTCTGTTTGCCTGACTTTCTGATCATATCAAGCGAAATATTATCATTGTTATGTTTTCACTTGTATTCAGAATCGATCACAATGGCGTCGGTGTATACACTTTCTGTCTTCCCTTAAACTAAGAGATTAAAATCGCTTCATATCTTTCTTTCTACGAACTAATTCTTTCTTCCTGTGCTATATCCTTATTGCAATCTTTCTTTTATATATTACCACCTCTAAATTAACTACTTTTATGAATCCGGTGTCCATCTTGTTGTGTTAATGAGGTATGGCAACTTGGACCGATGCATAAATCTGCCTGGTCCTACGTTGTAGCTGACTGACTGACTGTGTTCATTGTCTTATTAACTAAAAAAAATTACTAGCCAATTCTAAGTTTTAAATCTAATGGTCAATGCACTCCATCAAGTTCTTTTTAATGAAATATTTTTGAAAGTGAATACTTGTTTCGCTCATCACAATAGAAGTGATCCATTATAGTATAGATTTATCGTTTATTATCAATCATTTCATCTTGTCCAAAAAATTGTTCTACGTATTGGATTTCGGGTCTAGAATCCGAGCCGTCACATGTTATTTTTCATTGCTTCTAAAGGTTCAAAGCTAATGTAGTTGGCTAATTATTGTTCACATTCATGTGTCATTTATACTGTGGTATTTTCTTTCCATATAACTAATGTTGTCTGTTTTTATTTGTTTTGTGCCTTCTTGGTTTAGTCATTAAACGATTACAATGCCTATGAAATTCTTATGTTTTTACTAATGGGTCTAATTGGTGGATTATCTGGAGCATTGTTTGTGAAAGCGAATTCAGTCCTAACAAGATATAGACAAAAGTAAGCAAAAATATGTAAGCAATTCATTACTTCGCTTAAAGTTGTTCAAGCATGAAAATGGCTTATAACTTTAATGTTACAACGGGTAATCCTTTTCTAGTAGGACTTTGTCACTTCCAATTTTTGTAATATGACTGAAATTTCTAGCAAAATACTATCTTCAACTGTAGAAACCGTTAATAATACATAAAATTGTTCAGTGGTCATAATTTTTTTTAATATTAGTTGTTCGATCCGACATTACATTTTCGTGTATATCATGTTTGGAAACATTTGGGACTGAATAATTTCCTTCCCTTTGTTTCAGGAACATTACAACAAAATATAACAAGATTATAGAAGCCATTCTGGTCAGTTCGTTAACTACCACTTTATGTTTTTCAATAATGTGGGCTGTTCGTGATTGTAGTCCATTAGCATATACTAGCAGTTCTTTCCCCCTCAAAGTACGTTTTACTCTCGTTGATTCAGTCATTAATTTATTGTTTTATTAAAGATATTCGATTGATATAAATCTGATTCTTACACATTAATATATTTTCACTATTTGTGATGGTTAAGTGGAGATCGTTTAATATTTGTTAATTCTGTGAATTCAAATCAAACCGGATGGTACTAAAACTTATGCTAATACTGGGTTATGTTACAAATTGGTTGATATTGGTTATGACAGTGTTTTGTCCAGTTGTAGTGGTTCTAGAGATTTCACTATGAAGTTGAGCACTTTGATATACAAGGAGAAGTAAATATAAATTACTTTAGGTACTCTTTGTGTATCGAGGTTTATTTCCCTGACATTGACCTATGATAATGACCAGGCGTAGTTATTGTTAATTAGCTCTTATTAATTCTTACTTTTAAAATCCATTCCATGAAAATAGTTCAGATTGTATATTTGTCTTAAGGCCTCTATCGTACAAGGTAATTAAACAATCGTATTTCTTTTATCAGAATTTGTTATAATGGGGATAGTTACTGTATTAAATTTATTCAGTCTTTTACAGATGATGATATAACTACGGAACACCCTTCTGTCCACATATACTGCACATTCAAGATTTCTATGAATTACTGAGCATACGCGTCCGTCTAGTGTTTCAGAAGTTTCTTCCATGTCCTCATACCCAAGGACAACAATCTATCAAAGTATCAATGATACTTTTTTGCACGAAGCACTAAATAAAATGCAACACTGGTTGACTAAAATAATTATTCACATTCATACTGTTAGACTAGAGGGTTTGATTTATGTGAGAAACAAGTGGCAGGAGGTATAAACATTTACTATTTATTAAAATGTTCCGACGAATCGTAGCTAAGATTCATTCAGGGATTAATTTTACTACCAACTAAGTGATCCTAACTAAGGATGAAAAACAGTTATCGCGGTAATAACTGTGGCTTGAACACATGTTAAGATTTTAGAGTCAACAAAGTCATTTATATGATCATCCGACTTCACACTAACGATGTTGCCGCCAAACTGATGTTACTCGACTTAATGAGACATAGAAAACTAATTCTTAGATGGAAGTTTATTTCACACCCAAACACTAGGTTAACTATATTACAGCTTAGTTTTTGAGCGTTGACAATGCACTGACAAATCCAAATCAAACTACCATGAACAATTTTGTTATAAGTAATAATTTCACATCACAATATTACATGTTTTCGCTTGGCGTTTATTTATAAGTCTAGAAAATATGATTACTACCATATTTGTTATTAGTTAAAATTGTAAACACATCAACACTCAATAAATTCTATTTTTCGACATATTAATTTCTTGACTAATCATATGAGGTTCATTAATTTTCCCTATATATTTTCCGTATAAAACAGATGATGTGTGCGGACAACGAGTTTAATTCAATTTCCTCACTGTTATTTTCAACACCTGAACGTTCTCTCCGAACTCTGCTTCACGATCCTCCAATGACATACAGTATTTCAGTGTTAACCATATTTGTACTCGTATACTATTTCTTGGCCTGCATTACATATGGTTTGTCTGTTCCTGCTGGTCTATTCATACCATCTTTGTTGATTGGTGCTGGCTGGGGTCGAATCATAGGTTAGTGGTTATTTCATAAATTTCTACTTTATACAGGAAATTGATATAACTAGTACATCACCTATAAAGTATATCCCATTGTGTCCTTGACATATGGAAAGATTTTGTACTAGGAAGTAATAAGCAAGGTAAAGCATATTTTAAATCCCGAAACGAACCATACTGTGTAAACAGTTAACGCACCATAGTATGGGGGAGGGTAGCACGTATATGATGTACTCTTGTAAACCATATCCATTTAAGCTAATGATTATAACTGTTCCTAAGATTCTAATATACTAAGTTAATACTATATCGTTTTGGGAATGCACTGTGTCAGCAAAACGCTTTAATCATTTCATTTTGAACAACTCACGAGATCATTTTGTTGTTTTACGCTTGGATAATACAACGGGCATATACTATTGACATGAGAATGGATTTAACCTTATTTATAGGTCAAGTGACGGCGCTTCAACGATGACATAACCGTACTTAACTAAAAAAGAGATTTAAAGCAATTAGTCCCTTTGATAAATTTCGGTAGTGTAATAAGATGAAACTTATCAGAACTATGTGATATATTAGCGCAATACTTTTCGAACAATCTGATCACATATATACTTGCTAAGAACATTTATATATAGAAATAAAAGATCGAATTCGAATCAAATTTGTTAACCTGAATTAAGTAGTTTTTATTAATTATGTTACTGTACAAACTAGTAGTTCTTTTTATCCATTTTTATAATTATTTTAGGACATTTAATGCATACTATTGATCCAGTTCATTTCTCCGATCCCGGTAAATTCGCACTGATTGGAGCTGCTGCACAATTAGGTGGTATTGTTCGAACGACATTAAGTTTAACAGTTATTCTAATGGAGGCAACAGGAAACGTAATTGTTGGATTACCTTTGCTAATGACTTTGACTGTTGCTAAGTATATGGGTGATTGTTTAAGCGAAGTAAGTTGTAAAGCTTTTCTATAAATTGATCGATTTGTAGTCGTAGTAGAGTTTTGTTTTTTATTATTTTAATCGGGTCGTTTTTGTGTTGACTTTCAACTTATTACAGGGGATTTATGATGAACATATTGGATTGAATAGTATGGCTTTACTTCCGTGGACACCGCATTCTTTATCTATAACTAAGAGAGCTTATGACCTGATGTCTAATCCAGTCGTGTTTTTATATCCTATTATGCGTGTTAGTGAATTAGTTGAACGGGTTACAAATAATTTACATCATGGATTTCCAGTTGTAGTGGGTTCCACAGATTCATCAAGATTTTCATATGGTACTTTAGTTGGGATGATTTCTTCGGAGCATTTGGCACTACTGTTGCAAAAACGGGTATGTTACCTTTTCTTGTTGTGATTTTATTTTTCTATTATCAAAGTTACCTTGGTTATTGTTGTTTTTGTTCGTTCGAGTTATTGATTTAAGTTGGCGTGGAATATAATCCAGAATCAATATGATACAACAACTTTTATTAACTTTTTTAAGGCGTCTTATTTTCCGTCCATCAAAGGTTTTATTCGCGGAAGCCAATTGTTTGTTGTTCTTGTTTGAAGCTTGTAACAATTTAGTCAGACAGATAGGACAATATCTTTAATAAACTAAGGGTTCACATTCGCTTTACCTTACAATGTCACTGAAAGAGAAATGCTTCTAAATTTAGTATTACATAGGATCTTAAAGTTCTGACGAAAACCTCATTTTCACATTATTAGATTAATGAAAAGTGTTTACATCATTTGTTGGGGATTAGTGGGAGAAGTGCACGGACTTTTTGGAGACTAGGAGATAGGTTCTTAAATCACCATGTACAAAACACTAGTAATTTTCTAAAGAGAGATTCTATCAGCCTTGTGGGTTGCTAAGTCATTTCAGCCAATGTTTTCTTAAAATATACTTTCGTACATCCAAATGTTAGTAATTTGAAGACCTATTCACTACTTCCTCGTCATCGGGGTGTTGTTTACGAAGTCAAGAGAACGGAAACTCAATACCCGAAACTTGGACCGGGTTGGTGGATATGGAATATCCATCTAGAGTTATTGGTTGCAAAACCATGATTACAAGACAATAGTGCACATTGGCTCCAGGATCCCGACGGAACAAGTGGAGTACCAATCTATTGTCAGTCACTGGTTACCATGAAACTGCATCTCCTAACGTTGCTCCACTGTCTTGTAGCTTAGACCTTCAGGTCAAAGACTCGAGGTGTAGCCCCCTAAGCAGACCACCGGCTTTGGTTTGGTCGCCCGGGCAGTATCCAGCCTTCACAGAAATTGAGTGATGAAGTGTGTTATTAGTTGGAGTTTGATAGATAAACTGGTGAGAAAATACGGTTCGGTAGTAACATACAGGTTCATTCAGTAACATTTATTTATTTAAACACATAACCATTGGTACAAGGGGGCCCCAAATTTATATACACCACATTTCGTCATTCGATTCGTGTGAGGACTGGAACACTACATGGGAAATCAAACCGAAGCGGGTGATCATATTAGGAGGCCACTTCTCGAACTTTTGACCTGAAGGTCTAATCTACAAGACAGTGGAGCAACGTTAGGAGATGCAGTTTCATGGTAACCAGTGACTGACAATAGATTGGTACTCCACTTGTTCCGTCGGGATCCTGGAGCCAATGTGCACTATTGTTTTGTAATCATGGTTTTGCAACCAATAACTCTAGATGGATATTCCATATCCACCAACCCGGTCCAAGTTTCGGGTACTGAGTTTCCGTTCTCTTGACTTCGCAAAGAACCTCCCTGCTGCGAGGTGTGAGTAGGATTTCCTTGTGAGTGGTTGTATACTGGTGGCCATATGAAATTATTTGTAGATGGAGGACGGTTTTTCCTCACCTTTGTCCGTACCAGTGCATTCAGGGACTCATTCAGTAGACTTTGAGCTACTTTATTTGTTAGTGTGACTGAATACGCTCTTACTACTAAAACTAAGGCGAGTTTTCGAATTTCATATCAAATTACTTAGATAATTGTCTAAATATATAAGCCACAGTTTCATAACTTGGTAAGTTTTCTAATGCATATTTTTCTGAATACAAAATATCACAATTTTTTTTGTAAATTCATTTGATTTTCTTCAACTCACAACTTTCGTGTATTTAGGCATTTTTATCTAAAGATGGTAATATCGTATATTCATTGACCTATAAAGATTATGATGATGCTTATCCATCCTATCCAAAGTTAGGTGTAAGTCAACATATTTTAAAATTTAATTCTTTTTAATGAGATTGTCTATTTTGTTTATCGAATGTGATCAAAGTCTCAGAGTATGTTCATACATTTAAATGATTTAGTTTATGATAGTTTGATTGTTGTTCTATGGAAATGAACGTATTTATTTGGTTCATAGGAATCAGTTTAATTTCAAGATAGCTTCTTTTTAGAGAATCATCTTAAAACTGGATTCATTCGATAGATGTTTTGCTTTAGGCTGTGTCAATGTTCGGAGATATAGGCCATTAGATGAAAATTCATTAGTGTATAGATATCGTTGGACATAAAGGTTTCAAAACTGGCCGTTTGTGTTGTCATGAATCCTCACAACTGATTAGTTCGAGACTAGGATAAAACGACTTTTCAATGCTGCATATTTTTCAGTGACCCTCCGCTAGATCTGAGCCCCCAAATGCCCTTGTACGGCCGAGAGTGGGGAGAGTTAACAGGATCGTTGTTTACGAAATTGAAAGGACGAAAGGCGAATGTCCGGCGCTTTAACCCGCTTGGTGGATATGGAGGATACACCTAGGAGAGTTAGTTGGAAAACCCTGATTACAAAACAATGGTGCAGATGGGCTCCAGGATCCCGACGGAACAAACGGAGTATGGACCAATTATTGGTCACCGGCTACCATGTGTCTGCGTCTCCTAACGTTGCTCGACTGCCTTGTGGATCAGACCTCTAGGTCAAAGGCTCCGGGTGTAGCCCCCCCAAGAAAACCACCCGCTTCGGTTTGGGCACCCGAGCAGTACCTCAGTTTTCACACAAATCAAATGACGAGATGTGACACACATATATTTGGTGCCTCCTTATACCAATGTTTATGTGTTTAAATAAATAAATAATAAATATATCCGAGGAAAATACTACTACAATTCAAGGATATGTTAGATAGGTGTTTCATATTATTTTCCGATTCTCAGATCACAGATGACATCGGTCGGTCTTAATGTTCTTTTGACAATCTTCAGCCTGCCTTGCATGAATCAAACAGTTTTTATCACTTTTTTAGGTATTCCAAAACTTCGGGGAATTAGTACGATTTCATGCACATTTTTTGACCATATTTGCATCTATCCTTATTTTATTTGAAATAATAAATGCTACTCCACTTTTAAAAACTACGAAGTTCCATTTCTAAAGTAGGGTAATAATTGATGATAAAGTAATTGCTGCCGAACATAATTTTAGACAAGTCTATCACACTTATGTAGCTATTCGACAACCGATCTCTCTCGTAACCATTACTACACAAAATATTGGTAATGAATGCCTCCCACTGTGCTCACTTTCATTCATTGTTGTTTGTTGGCTTAGTAGTATAAAGGGAACCTCACAATTGCATAAGTAAAATAATATTCATACTGAAAGTCACTAACCATTAATTTTGATGTAGTGTATAATGTATGGTAGTTTCATGAATCTCCAACTTTCTCTATAGGAAGTGACATTACCTATCTGCACAGATCCAATTAGATTAAGTTTTCTTAAATTCTCAATCTCGTAGATGAAATGTAAGTCACTATCGTTAAGCTGAAACCTTGCTGAAATAGAATTCTCTAGGTCAGTAACTGATTGAACTTCATATACCCTCGGTTTCAAACTGTACATTTTTATTGATCATTGTAGATGCTACTCGACTGTTTAGAATTAATTTGGTTGAACAAGTTTGGGACCGGTGTGTAAAAGCTTTAACCTCTAACCATTGTTTTACTACTGAATTCAAAATATCTCGCTTTTTTAACATTGTTTAAATATCTTAGATCGTGTAAATAATAAGAAAATGCAAAAATAACAATAACAATATACACGTCTTAAATTTTTTTTTAAACTGTGAGGCTTGTTCAGAATCCTGATGTTCTACGTCGGATTTTTGTGTCTTCTTTTTGATTTACCTAGGATGTTTTAGTTAATTTGTCATGTGATGATATGGACGCCTACTTAGACTTGAGGCCATACATGTGTGAAGCACCATACAGTGTCCCAGAGGTAAATATTTTTTCTTCTAAAAAAGTAATTGTGAAATCTCATCTTCCTGTAAACATTTTGATTAAAATTGTCCACATGTTTTTTGTAAGATGATGAAGTGTTGTGTTCCACTACGAAAATGTACAATGTTCTGTTAGTTTGTGTGAGATCACAATTTTAATTAAAAGTATTCACATTATCACTGTAAATAGACTTCGCTACAAAATGAGCCTTATCCGTAGGCTAAAAGTCTAGTCAATCAAACCTTGATCATTATAAACAATGGATTTAGGTTCCCACATGGATTATTTTAGCCTCTGGACAAACCAATTTGTTTATTCTTCAGTCACATTTTGACCTTGTTAACCTTGACTGTTTTTATATGATGGTATTCATGTATCGCCTACCCTATTCATCACATGTCTTTAAATACCTTTGCGCTTTATCAGATGGTGTTGCCACACTTGCCTTCGCTTTGCTTTCCAGCTTTCCGTTCTGAATATCTGTCGGTGTAAGTGAGTGCCTGAAATAAATCGGTTCAACTTAACAGTTAACTGGCTTCTTATTACTGCCGTCGCACAAGCGTGGTTAATTTAAGTGTACTATAGGGTATTAAATTGATGCATATTCATTCGTTCTTTAAATTAGAGTCAGATCAGCGGACCACTAAAAATATTTGATATAAAGCTTTCTTCATTTGATCATGTAGATAAATTATGTTGACGAATTTCAATCACGTATAGGTAATAATTATTTCTCCTATAATTTGGAAGATTTTTCTTTTATGCTTGCGTTAGGAATAAACTTTGCGTTCTCTGAGCTTTGATATTTTCGATCATACATGTGGATAAGGCTGATGACCTCATCTACGTCTACTTTTTTATTGCTTAGAATGGCGTATGTTTGAACACGGGACACGGAGCTGTAATGTTCGAAGATTGTCATTTTTAAATATTAACTTTGAGTCATGTTTAACTAAAGTAAACTCAAAAAGGATTTTTCAAACCGAAATTTCGGAAGTTTCAAACTGCACGATAATTCAGTTTTGGCACATTAAAAGTCGCTTCCTAGTGATCCCTTTTTAACTTTACACCAAATCACTCTGTAAATGCTAGTGGATCCCTATTGTGTCATCATCAGCAGTAAAAGAAAAGGTATTCCTTAGTGTTCATTTGTCCCATTTGTAGTGTTTGAGGTACTGAATAATACAGAAGATAATGAGTATCTGGTTTATAATTCATTGAAAGTTGGTGAATAAATCACACAATAGTTGTATCGTGTATAATAAGCAAACTGTTTGTAAAGTACAGATGAATGAAGCTATTTTGATGAGAAATTCGATTTATGATTTTATAGTATTAAAAGAATTACTTACAGTGACTTTTTGTCTGTTTTGTCTGTCTTTTATTTCAATATCTGAATAGAAATTAAATTCTGAGTAGTGATTATAATCAATTAAATGTAGTCTAACATAATACATGGTAAAAGTGTATTTTTCAAAAATTGGCACTGTATTTTTCATGATCATAGCTATCTGTTTCTTGTGACTTTCCACCTCACTATAACCCCCTTATAAGTAATGCAGAATGATATTTATTAACATCTTTGTATAATTTCTAATATTATTTCATTAATTGCATGGTTTTTGTCAATCCAATGTGATGGTGACGTACTCACTTTATACTTAGCAATAAGTTTTTAATCCTACGTAATTATTCACGTAATTCCCATGTGGTGGATATGTCTTTAAGTTTAAATACAATTTGTTAGTTGACTAGGATTTCCTCTTTGTTTAGTATATAATAAATTGTATTGTTTTTAAAGTAATTTGTGTGTAGACTTCAGAATACCTCGGTGTTGGATATCGGGAGTTGTTAAGATAAGTAATCAATGATTGATTAAGAATATGATTTTGAAACATAATGTGATAATATTTTCATTTAGTTTTGTCAGTGTTGTGGCGGTATTTAAAGAATAAGTTATTATAGTTGTCATTTTACAGTTAAGATGCTAACTATTTCCAAATCCCTATAAGCAATCCCGCAGTATATTGGTTCCTGTGAGAATTTCAACCGATCATTGGATCTTTTGATTAAAGATGATTGTTTTCAATTATTAAGATTTTTATTTTAAGACTGAGTACATCAAATTCATAAGAGACTTGCTTGCATTGAATAAATGTAAGCTACTACTTTTTCCTGAGTTTTTGTATGTCATTCCTTTTTTATCAGAAACTGTTATGTCCTTATGTCCGATTAATTATATCGCGTGATATGACCTCCGATTGGAGACATCGACCAGACTAATGACAAATAAATCAGTTCGGTCAGTTCAGCGTCAATACTGAGTTCTAATTGGACCACCGAGATGGTAGCTTCTCTGTTAACTTAGCCGGTTTATTTTAGAACACCAATATCAGCCTCCGTTATACGAATCATATATTTCAGACATACTGGGTTTATACTCAAACAAATCAGATCTCATCATACCATAAAAAAGAAAATAACAATTATACATGATCAGGCCAAAAATTGGCTGTGATTGTGAGAGACTGTTACTAATAAATTGGGAATGTCTTGAGAATAGTATATCGTATAATAATAGTCAATAGATCAAATAAGAGCTTATGATAAAAGGAATATAAATACACATATAATATTAGTCCATAAATAATTCCTATCGGTTACCATTCATTTATTCTTCGTCCTCATCCAACAGAAACTGTCTGTTTTCTATTTTAAAAAATTAACAATAACACCTTGGACACTGTTCTTAAACTAGTATTTTAACAAAATTACTACGTTTACTCTGATTGATATCTTTATATTCGACAACCATAATTCACAGTCAGAATAACAAAGTATTCATATGACTTTTATGTTTTTCTACTTCAAAATCTGTTGAATAATTCATGTTGATGAATGATGAACGTCCTGGTCTTTCATTGTTATATTTATTCAACGGAATTTATCTTATTATGTTATATTGTTCAATAATCATCTAATTTCTACTACAATTTTACCACGTGAAACATTATCTTCTCTTATTTTAGACTATGACAATGACTCGTGTTTACCATCTTTTCCGTTTATTGGGTCTCCGGCATCTACCGGTTGTCGATAGTCAAAATCAAGTATATTACTAATGTTCTGCTTTTTTGCTTTGTGTATATATTGAAATCGTACTTATAATTACAGTTTGACAATGTCATGAATATTGTGTATGTGATTTTATTGAATAGTTATTTTTGTGACAAATGACTGACAAGGTTATAAAAACGTGTTTTGTCTATGTCATCTCTGTTGTGTCCACCGTCCTACTGTTCATACATGGAAACGGTAACCACTGTAATTCCCATGAAGCACGAAAGAATCCGAAAGACTTGTAAAAATGAGGATTTATTGGCTCTCCAGAATCACCTCGTCATTAGAGCAAAGCGCACTCATTTCTATAATAATTTCTTCACAATAATATAACATATGGGGGAATATTAATAGAGTTACTGGAAAATATAGTGAATATAGTTCACTTGAATTAATATAGGGAATATAAATATCTCACTGAATGAAGGTTCACATGTGTCATGTTGAAGTAAGTTAATACTGGATTAATGACAACAAGATTGAAATAAATTGATGTCATCTTTCTGTCCCGCCACATAAAACAAAGGAAACTAGCCTAACATGAATCTCGTCAGTTCAAAGTGCCTTATGTTTTAGTGACTAAATTCTGCGGAAGAAAGTCAATAGTATGGGATAAAATAATCCAACATTAACTACATAAAATGTTCTGACTGTCGATTTTCCCAGTCAATGGATCGTTACTAATCAAATCTTTATTAAATTATGTTACCGGAATTTTCAAAACACTAAGTTCTCTTGTTTCGAAGATAATCATACTGATAGTTCCCTGCGAAGCTCAGATCACTAGTGGATAATTTGGTAATCTTCTGATTTTGGTTTTATCCATTCACTAACTCTTTTACATGTACCAGACTACAGCTTACAACAATCGTATACAGTTACTAAATAAAACTATCACGAAAAGTTCAAATCTATTTGATGTAATTTTTAACAGCAACTGTTCAGAAAATGTTGTCTAAGTATGTTCATTGTTCTAAATTATGTGATCTTAGTTAACAAATAATGTGGATCTTTACATAGCTGGAAAACCGTTTAAGCATTTTAAGTGATTTCGGTTCGTGGTGAAAACCCCAAATCTAATTCCTATTCCTAACCACCAACTGCAAATCATAATTGCATTTCCTCATATTGATCTACAGTTCTCATTTAGTTCTAGTTAGTAGGTGAACATTCTCAAGGTCACTAAAACGTCTCTCAAAGGTTGTCCATAAATTATAGTCTCATCGTAGGTATCATTAGCAAGGTTTTATTTGATAATTTCGAATAAATTGAGTAGATTGTTATAAATAAAATAATATATTTGTAATATCCCAATGAGTAGAAAAATTAGATTTTCTGACATTTCGTGACTTAGTGTAAACCACTTCTTCAGAGAATAAATAAATAACCAAATTAAAATTAATCCAAGCTTAAATAGTACAACGGAACAATAGGACTGTGAAGAAGTGGCTTACACTAAGTCACGAGACGTAAGAAAATCTATTTTTTCTACTCATTGGGATATTACAAATATATTAATTTATTTATAGTCTCACCGATATTGTTAAGGTATAACTGTCACATTTATTATTGATAAATGAACTTAAACTTACTTTGATAAATTTATTATTTTCTACTTTATTTTCAGGTTCGTGGAATCATTACACGGAAAGATTTAAGACGTTTCAAATTCGAATTTGTTAGCGGTGAATATCGCGTAGAAGAGTTGATATTTTCACGTAAAATGTAATCACTACTTAAGATCTTTTCCCTTTTCTTCTTTTTTTTAAAAAACAAACAAATAAACATGATTTTAATTATTTTCTTTGGATCTGTTATCAACATTGTATATTTATGCTCATCATCAGTATTAACTAACCGGTTCTGATTCTATATTATTGTGAATAAAACATTTATTGGATTCACTGACTGACTAATAATAATAACAATTATCATTATTATTATTATTTTCACGTTATTTACTTTTGTATGTTTACCTAATGAATATTATCCTATTATTATTTTGTTTACGGTGATTTATTCATGAATTCTTAATTTTATTATTATTAGCCATTTCTTTTGTATAATTGTATACTTTCAAATTAATGAAATGAATTATTATATCGTTTATATATTCCCCTCCGAGCACTACCATATTAATACTGAAATCACGAATGTAAAATTATGTATACATATTAAGCAAATAAATTTTATTATTATTATTTTTTTTTAACGGTGTTAATATCTTTAGAAATTTTCAGGTTGGGTTTGAATGAATTCAATGAACTTTGAATCAATTTACTAAGAACATAAAAAACAGATTATATAAGAACCATTATTTTTCAAAATCCAATTACGAAAAAAACTCAAAAGTTCATGCTTAGTTTAGAAAGTTATTGAATGATTATTTTTGTGTGTGAAGAGAATCCATGATCAGTGAGTAGGATTTCATTGTGAGTGGCCCTATACTGGTGGCCATGTGAGAGTATTCGTGGATGGAGGACAGACGTTCCTCACCCTCATCCATTTCAGGGACTTCGCTTGTCGAAAGTAAGTATAAATTGGCTCTCATAAGTATTAAATCCCTGATTCTTTTTAAATATCATTTGCATTTTGGCGAACTATTAATTCAACAAGTAATTTCGAATGACTCAATTGATAGATTCGATTGGTATATTAAACAGCATTATCGGGTTAAATGTTTGACATATTACATTATTAACTGTATCAATATTTAATGAGAAATATAGTTGTTAAAAACTTGATAAAGTTATCAGTTGCATGGGTTTCTCACTCTTTATATTCAATGTTCAATTAGTTCACTATGTATACGGGCCTCCTGAATAAGTTCCTCATTATCACTTGTATATAAAGTTTGACTATCGTGATGTAGTCGTCTAGTGGACAACTTTCTAGTGTTTAAGGTAATAAGTACTAGATTAACATCACGGTGTGAGTATCAAATCTATGATATAAGTACACTCAACTGACAAGTCATAAATAAGACAAAAAGTTTATATTAAATCCTACCAGTATTATCTTATCCTATTATTATCCTATCAGTATTATCTTTACAAAACAGTTAGTGTGGAAATTTTTTCTCTTTTATGTCTAATGTGTATAATTATGTTGAAAATCCTAGACTAATCTCCAAATTGTGCTACTCTCTAGTTATATCTCTGCAATCATCCCAAGATTCACATATATCAGTAGTGATTGATCAACTTCAATGAGCTACGGGGAAAAAACACACAAATCTACAAATATTTTACACAGCGTTTCATTTCTAATAGATCATGCAGAAATATGTAATAATACTGATTATTGACTTTGTCATATTAAATAATTGAATATGTTATTAAAATAACTATTGTGACATGGTATATATATACATATATATATATACGTATTAATATGCTTAGGTAGATTATATCAGTAATAGCAAAACTACTAACAGCACTTGACAACTTGTGAAATCTAATTTTGTTTATTATTGTGATATAACGAAGGTCATATATACATAAACTATGAATTTATTAGATTTACTACAATCATTCATTGTCTGTTATTTATAAATTGCAGAATAATATTTGACATGTGCTATTATTATGGTTATAAAAATATATACGCTATTGAATAGTTTGTTACAATTTGAGTGGGGTTGGTTACAATTTAAGGGTTGAAGTTGAGATATGATTACAGATAAGTATGTAGAAATAACATAAATTATTCACAAATTTCAAAGGTTATGATTTATTTTATAGATGCTTCATTATAATTACTGCTATTGGCCCATGTGAACAAGGGTTAGATACTATTCACCCGGAAAAAGATGACCAAGGAACACACTGCTCCGAGAATTGGAGGCAGACATCAAATTGATGAATAGCGACTAGAAATTATTGCTTAGGACAGATTTGGATGGAGGATGCTAATGGGTGGCCTATGCTCCTCCAAGAGAGGTAACAGGCATAAGCATGTACTCATATTAGAGAATTGAAAAAAATACTTTTACCAAATGTATCATATTCTGAGAGCTTTCGGAGTGTAATTGTGTCACGTATTGAATTGCGTTCGAATCCAGTGAGTGGCGTCGTGGATGCGCACTGCTGAGGAGTCCCACAATAGGACAGAACGGCTGTCCAGGTTTTCGATGGTGATCTAACATCAATCGGTTCATGATCTCAATAAAAAAAAATCATATTTGTTGCATATGGATTCTGTAGACGTTCTGGATTAATTTAGTTTATTATGATGAAAAGAATGTATTTCATGCCTGAATGTGTTTATTTAATAAAAACGTATAACGAATTGTTTAAAATATTTCATCTCACTCTCGTATAATACGTTGATATAATAATAAGTCTAAACAGGTTAAATCTAAACCAGGATTAACGACTCAGAATAGAGAAGCAGATTAACATTATTATTCTTGCATTGTTCCGTTGTACTATTTAAACTTGGATTAATTTTAATTTGGTTATCTATTCTCTGATGAAGTGACTTACACTAAGTCACGAAACGTCAGAAATCCTAATTTTCTACTCATTTGGATATTACAAATATTTTATTTTTATTTTAACATTAGATAATCCAATGAAGTTACAAACAGTCAAACTCAGTGTATCCGAAGTAGAAATCGATTATTTTAATAGTCAGTAGGCTGCGGTTGATTTGTTCACGCTTAATGAACATTCATATTGTACTTCCACTACTACACACAAACTAAATCTAAATATATATAGAGAATGCATAAGACTCAGATAACGGATGTGTAGTTACCTGTCATAGTTTGGATAGTGGGTAATGATATAAGTTTTGTACTTTTTTAACTGATAAACTGAGTTAGGTTTCTTGCAAGTGTCGCACACTCACAGTTCATTGTGTTACCAATAACCTCTAATGCTAATACCTATATTGGTAGTAATAGGCATTATTTCTGGTGGGTATGATACTTTTATATATTAATTATGGGTCATGATCTACTGCTGTTCGTATTTATCGTTTAAACTAATCAATCCCCGTTGATATATGTGAAAATTAAATGGATTCCTTGATATTCTCTGTTTTTATAATCTGATTATGTGTTTAGATAGTGGCTAGTAGTGTGATCCATAATTCCAATTTTCGGTATCACCATTGATATGGGAGTATATCAAACTCGCCATAGGATGAAATCCGTAGGTGATTACTAAACATTTGTTTACAAAATCCTCATACTAACGGAGGTCAGTCAAATTCAGTCTTAAATCTTAAAAATAAATACATACAACAAATAATGAATTATTCATTTTTTATCAGTCATGACTGTCTGTGATTAAGGCAAGATATCTCTCATTGTTGTTGTAATCACATTCAGATAGATAAATAACAGCTGAGAACAGGTTGATAAAGATTTCATAAAATATCTATTCAATTTATAATACACCGGTTGATAAAGATTAATTCGTCCAATTTGATAAATTCGATGGTTTGGTTTCCTGAGGTGAATTCCTTTGGCTACACATTTGGTAACGTCGAAATCAAATGGCAGAGATTCCCAGTGAGTAATCATATCATTATTAGCTGAATGATGAACAAATATCCAGTTCAACGCCAATTACGTTTAGCAAAATATTTCATTGACGTGAAAAAGAAATATGTGTACAGAATATTAATGAAGCAAATCAAACAGTTCGAATGGAACATATGGTTTAAAGAATATTGGTTAGTTGATTAGTTACATAACAAAAATAATTATTAACTGGTAGATAAAATTGATGAACTATATATCTGATTTCAAAAAATTTAAAAACTGTCATTAAAATTTACTTTAAACATCAGTCTTCCATTAGTAACTGTTTTTTCACTAGTGTTTTTGGATAATTGACATCACTAGTTTGTTTGTTTGAAAGTAGTTTTCATCAGTAACGGACAGGAATTGAAGAAAAAATACTGTCGGGAGCATTGGACAGAAAATGTTTATCAATGTACATTAACAACGTAACACAGAATAAAAATCTGAACATTCAGGTATCATGGCAACTGCAATTCCAACCACCTACTGAATGAAAATTGAATGATTTGCATTTTCAGACTTAATTAATTTGTAATTTAACACATTTTGTTGTTGTTGACATAATTAACAAATTATTGTCATCAACTTTTGACTTAGATAATAACTTTACATATTATGTGCTATATCTTGTAGCCTTATGCCCCATTAATATATAACGTAATGATACTGCCAATTAGAGAACAGTGATTTATCGACCGGAACAATAACACATAAAACAAACTAGAGTCCTTATCGGTCCTGCTACCTGCCTAGCTCTGCCTGTTATGTCCAGAACACTAATCTCAGCCTCTGTGATATGAATCATGTATTTTAAACATACTGGGTTTATATACAAACGAAACAGACTATATCGTACCATAAAACAAAAAAATAACATTTGTACAAATTTAGTCAAACGTGGCTGTGAATGTGGGAGATAGTAATTGATAGACTGGGCAGAACTCAAGAATGGTAAATTGTATATTAATAGTTCATAGTTCAAAATAAAGCTTATGATAAGATGCACACGAATATGTATAGTTGAGTGAGTATATATATATATATAGTATTAGTCTACAAATAGTTCTCAAAAGTTACCATTCATAATTCTCATCGAGATATAACATTATGTTTTCTCAATTTCTTAGAGAAATGTAATTCAAAGTTCATCTCCTGTAGGTAAATAATTATTATAAATGTTAAGGTGGTATGTCAATTCACAATAGTTTACGAAACAAAAATGTAGGTACTTTTAAACTGTACAAAGTCCGCAGCAATTAATATGGTATATTTATTTTGGTATTTAAAGTCTAATTTAACATTACAATGATAATGTACATGTTTATTAAAATAATATGGTATTCGAATATTCTACTGAGAAAAGTAAATTCTCAAAACAATAATACTGAATAAATTATCTATGATAAATATCTTTTTATCATTACTTCTGAAGAATGAAAAAGTGGACTGAAATGTTAGGACTCAAAAGTTAAGTGGATAACACAATGGCGTTTAATGCGAACGGTACTGGGTTCGATTCATGGAGTGAACATCAACGTTTTGATGCAGGTACATCCAACTGACAAGTCCAAATAGTACTGAAATGTTATTTAAAATAATGAAAGTTTGAATAAATCTAATAAAAAATCAACACACTAATAATTATGCTTGATATAAAACAGAG